TGTAAATTATATACCAGATGTCTGGGGACTGGTGTTGTTTCTAAATATAGTCAAGTTACCTCCGTGTGGCACAGCGCGGCCTTCACAGAAGGCACCCGATCAGCCTGGCGAAAGTTACAGGCGTTTTGTAAAACTAATTTTCACACTAATTCATCCTAAAGAGTTAAAGTGGACACTTAAAAAAATCTTAGCTACCCAGTTAAAGTCTGACAAGATTGTAAAGTTCCTGAACTGTTGTATATGAAGCTATGTGTAATTTTGCTTGGTTTTGAGAGAAAGTGTGTCAACCGTTCTAATATAAATATAGCATGTCCATGTTGAAAGGGAAGATATTTTATAGGCAACACAGCTGAATGGAAATTTGGAGTTGCCGAATTTCAGATTGTGAAGGCAGGAAATACGGAGGGGTGGAGGCTTAGGTCAAAACAGGAACCGGAATTTGATCTCGTACCTGTGATTCTCACACGTTATGGATTCATTTCAGAGATTCCTCTCCAGCATTACCGGGAATGAGGTGGGGTTGCTTGGGAGTTAAGCAAGCAGAGTTCAAACAAACAAGGTGCCTCGAGTCCCATGCACGTGCTATAGGTCACTCCTTCGGTAGATGGACATACCTACACTTCAAAAAAACGTAGCATGAGGTGTTGTTTGTTGGCTTAAATACATTTATAAATCATTCAGTTGCTTTAGTTTATTAAACTGATAGCACTGAAAATTATTTTAATGCTGTTGTTTATGGTTCGAGTTTCTCTAGTTTTGGAAAACAAGTATTTTTCCCTAAAATTCCTACTAGAAGCCCCCCTATTTACCAGTTTGTTTAGCAAAGACCACCAGGTTATTACTTATAGAGCAGGCTCTGTACTTGCTCATTCCCAGTCCCCCTCTCAACCCTGTCTGACTGTTGCTGGTGCTTGTCCCATTTTTGGTGGAAACCGAATCTTGGAAAAGTTAGATGACTTCATGGAAGCCACTGTCCTAAACTGGGATGCGAATCGTGGCCCGCCTGGCCCCTCCGTCTCTTTCCTCCTGAGCTTCTGTGCTCTAGCTTTATCTGTGTCTCCTTTAATTCTCCTGCTCCCAGCCCCTCCTCCAACCTTCCACCCACTCCCCCATCCCCAACCCAGTTCTGGTAGGAATAATGGCAGACAGCAGGGGGCCCATGCTTGATCTCTGCCTGATGGGCCAAGAGATTCCTCATCCAGCATGTTTCCAGTGGTTTTGTAACTGACCTCCCACCACGCTGCCCTGTAGATTACGTTTCATTCCATTGTCATGCCTTTGGAGGTCATGTAAATAGAAACAGTACCAAAGACACATAGGGAAAACCTGGCTCAGCTTTTTCTCTCCCCACCATAATAGACCTAAGTCTTGGTGAAAAAGAAATTGAAGGTGCCACAGAAAGCTGTGTGACAGTCTGGGGAACAAGTGGTGGTTGGGGTACAGGGCGGTACCTTCAAATACTTCCATCTCTTTATTTTGGTCCTTCTGTTGCCTGTTTTCTAAATGATCCTTTTCCTTTCTTCCCCCCACCGCCTTCTTTCATGAACACCAACAAGCGATGCTGAAATTGTTCAGAAGTATAATACAACGATTTTGATGGGCAAACACATTAGTTCGCAAAAGGGGGATATCAAATTGCCGCCAGCTACAAATATTGTTCGCTTTGCTGCCCCTTAAAGGTCTTCATAAATATACTAGATAGAAATGAGCCCAAAATGAACCCAAAAGGCTATTTCTCTAAACTTTTCCCAATCTCAACATCTGGTTAATTGCCATTTAGCTAGTGACAATGAAAGAATAGGCAGCAATAATGAAACGGCATCATGTAATTCAGCATATATCTTTTAGAGGTAAATTAAGGTAATGAATTTATTGAGCCAATATACAGGAGAGAAAACATGATCATTACAATCATTATAAATACTATAAATGATTATTTAAATTTATATATTTAAGCAAGGATTACTTAAAACTTTATTAATTTACTACTGCTCTTCTGAGCAAGCTGAACTTAGTGATTTCACATATGTGATCTCTTTGAAAAGTTGTTATAATTTCCTTATTTAAATCTTCACAATGAAATTGATATGTGTTCTTAAGTTCTCCAGAGTTTCACTCAGCAGTCAAGTTTACTTTAATGATAAAACAAACGTATATGACTTTTATTTTTATTTTTAAAGTTTATTTATTTTGAGCAGGGGAGGGGCAGAGGGCAAGGGAGAGAGGAAATCCCAAGCAGGCTTCTCATTGCCAGCACAGAGCCCGATACAGGGCTCGATCTAATGAACCATGAGATCATGACGTGAGCTGAAATCAAGAGTCGGATGCTTAACGGACTGAGCCACCCAGCTGCTCTGACGTGTATGATTTTTAAAGCATCAGGTTTCACCTCAGAAGCTGAAACTCAAAACATAGCCGTTTCCCCAAATAATATTATTTACGATGGTGACTTTGCACTTTGTTTAGCGAGAACATAACGTTCTAACTTCTTAGAAATGATTGCTTTGTCGCCAAATATTGTCCTATCAACAAATATTTATTGCTGTGCATTTCAATCCTACTTTTAACATATAATAGGAGTGTTGCACACGGGAAAGAAAGAATGCCCAAAAGCTAATAACGGCAAATCTTCTTTCAGTTGACAGCTCAAAGAATTGGATGTCTGGCTTGCTAATCTTCTGAATAAGCAAGAAATAATGCTGGCTGGAAAGGGAGAACAGAGCAGTGTCATAACCAACTCCAGTTAGATTATGTAGCTCTCTTTAAATGATGTTTCTCTTGGCTCTCATGTCTCAGCTTTAAAATAGAACAAATAGGGGTGCGTGGGTGGCTCATTCAGTTAAGCGTCTGACTCTTGGCTTCAGCTCAGGTCATGATCTCGGCGTTCATGAGATCGAGCCTTGTGTAGGGCTCTGCACTGTCAGCGCAGAGCCTGCTTGGGATTCTCGCTGTCCGTCTCTCTCTGCCCCTTCCCCACTTGCACTCTCTCTCTCTCAAAAATAAATAATTTAAAGGAAAAATTTAAAAACTAGAATAGTTGTCTATGCCTCGGCGAGTGTGAGGAGGAAGGGGGATCATGCACACGGTGCTGGCACAGGTGTCCCATGTCCCACCGCATGTCCCACACGGCGCAGGCTGGGCATCGGCCACCATTACCGTTACTGGTACATCAGGGGTAACGGGAAGAGAAGCTGTGCCCCCTCGCCCTCGGGATTTGTGTCTTCCGCAACATCCTATAATATCACTGGATATAAAAAAGACTGATGATGGGCAGTTGCCTTCTGCCCTCTCTACCACGTTCACTCGGTCATTTCATGAATCCTGCGATATGTGGCCCACATTTTATTCGGTGAAATCGTTTGGACCTCCCTTACGGTGTTCTGGCAGAGTTCTTCTGTGAGACCATAATTGAGGAAGCCTGGGTCCATGTGAGACTTCTCCAAAGGTATGAAACCACAGGAGCAATGACGTGTTTCTCAAGTACCACAGCTTACCGCATTTCCCCTCATTCCTGACCTATTCAGAAAGCTTCAGACATGCTTCTCATAAGATGTCTGTTTCTAACAGCTAAGTGACTTTATTTAAATTGTACCAGGACTGATCAGCAGGGTTTTTAAACATTATTTTTGTTTATTGCGTCCTGTGGATCCTTGAAAGGAGGAAGAGGGAGTAGACAAGAAGACAGATACTAGCAAACGTAATCCCATTACGTCAGGAAGGCTCTCCCTCTAGCTAGCAGTGCTTCAGCTTATCAGCCAATGAGACCCCTTAAAGGAATGTTTTCCTGATTGGCACGGTCTGCATGTTTAATCACTGAAAAACCTCCACAGGTGATCTCTCGTGTAGATTAAATAGAATCAACCATGCTGATCCTGTTTAAATTACAAGAAAATCACCGGGCACCAAGCCGGTATCATATAGAACCACCTGGGTGGACCACAAGGGTTGGAGAGATAGGGGTGGTTGGATGCCAGATAGCTCTCGGGGAGAGAAGGACATGGGGATTTCCACACGGGAGGGCACTGATTTTCTAATGGGAGGGGCGCATAGGCATGTAAGAAGGGGGAACTTGGGGGACAAGGTGGGTCAGTGCCTTTTTCTTCAGGATGTAGGGTTGGAGGGGTTGCCAACCATTGGTATGTGGAGAATCCGCGACCCCTGAGGGAGCCCTTGGCATTATCGGCACCATTTCAAACATCAATGATAGTCTGCTCCTCCCAAACCGCGACACCCCTTTCGAGGGCCCACTGGGCTTGTTCGAGGGCGCAGGACGTAGGGGTCAGCTACTCATTGTCCTTGGCAACCTGGCATAGCTCCTTTACACCTCAGGGCAAACTGTAAGGAGAGGACAGTCTGGGGGTGCAGAGAGAGGGGGGCATGGCAGGGCGGGCGTAGAAAGTAGAGAGGTGGGGTGCTCCTGCTGCTAGCCTTCCTAAAAGTGCCCAAAAAAGATTTTTGGGGGCGGGGCACCCGGGTGGCTCAGTCTGTTAAGCGTCCGGCTTTGGCTCAGGTCACAATCTCACGGCTGGTGAGTTCAAGCCCCACATCGGGCTCTGTGCTGACAGCTCAGAGCCTGGAGCCTGCTTTGGATTCTGTGTCTCCCTCTCTCTCTCTCTCTCTCTCCCCCTCCTGTTTGCACTGTTTCTCTCTCTCAAAAATACACAAACATTAAAAAAAAAGTTTTTTGGACTTCTGAGAAACCATGAAACAGGTACTTTTGGGGCATATCTAAGGGAACTTAATCCTCCCCTTCTTTGGAAGACAGTTCAAAAGGTACAGTAGTTCTGGGATTGGTCAGTTCCAGAACATGCTTTATAGCCCTTGGCATTCTGAAACTGCCAGGCTGGATCTTTTAGACAAGAATCAGACTTCCTGGTATATGGTCAGGTGTCTCAGTCACCTTGTTGAACACAGACTCTGAAGAGTGTGTATTTCACAGGAACTGAGTGTGTCCGTCAGGGTTCACTTCTACTCACAGATCTCGTCTTCTTTTCCAACAGGTTCCTGGGCAGACCGGTCACCACTACATGAAGCAGCAAGTCAAGGTCGTCTTCTTGCTCTGCGAACACTGCTCTCCCAGGTGACGTATTAGCTACGGCTGGAAATACATCCCTGTCCCATGACCGCAGAACATTAACTTTCAAAAGTAATCAAAGAAAAAAGAATAAAGCTGCTTAATAAATGCTACCAGTCTTTTTTTTGTTTTAACCCCTATATCAGTCAGCTCTCTACTTTGCATTTAGCTTTGAGATTTCTTTATAAATATTTGGGTATAATCCTATGTCTTAATATACCGAGTTTCTCATACAGTATACTTGCTCACTGAAACATATTTCAGCAAGAAGTCACTGGACGTATGTATTATTCATTTAGCACTTCAACTATGCTTTACTCTATATAATGTGTGCAGCTAATTGCAGAGAAAGTTTGGTCACAAAATATCCAAAAAGGGGTAATCAGAGCAGATGCCCAAACAAGCTTTTTTACATTAATCTGTCCTCTGTGATGGCGAATTACCCATGAATGCTACAGAGTGATCACTTCTCTCCCTGCCCACTCCTCAGACTCACCAGAGGAGAAATGAAAAGCATAGATTCCTTACAGAAACACAGAGCACTCTGGTTTAGCCTGTGCGTTGTTAAAATTGAACGACGTGATTCAGAAGCACACCCAGATCTGGAAGTCATTGTCCTGGTGCTTCCTGGTATCCGGGAGAAAGGGATGCTCTCGGGTGGCTGTGTGGGAAGGAAAGGCAGTGATGCCCGGGTTCCAGGACATGGCCCTGGGACTCAGGACACCTGCATGCCAGGCGGGTTCTTAAAGTGGATCACAACCTTCCTGACCATCCTTTTTTCATCTATAAAGGGAACATGTAGGACAAGCTGCTCTTGTAGGGCTGTCCTGTGATAACAGAGTGACCATTTTGTTTGCTCATCACTTGATGGGGGGAAAAAAAACGCACCCTCAGAAAAGTCAGTAATTTTCTAAACGTAACCCACTCGGTCCCCCCAACCACCTACAGAAACCCTCACGCAGTTCTTTGAGAGGAGAGCAGTCTCAGGATATTTTTCGACATGTATCTCATACCACCCACACGCCAGCCAGGAAGAGTCCGAGGCTGCCCCCAGAGCCCGATGGGAAACAGAATCCAGACCTCTGCAGACGCTCGGCCACCTGGTCACCCCGGCGGGTGGCAGTTAGGAAGGAATTGGCTCCTTCAAGTCTGACTGCTGGCTAGACAATTCGAAATCTGTGAAAAGATAACCTAAGGGATCTAAAAAGTTGCCACCTGCTAGCGACAAAGATTGGGGGTGAATCTTTTCTTGCCTTCATTTTAAGATTCATCCCAGTATTCCAGGCCATGGCAGTGCGTCATGTTATGGGGGTTTGGCCACGAAAATCTTCCTCTTACAGTGTTTAGTATGATGGTCAATAGACAGTGAGTTACCAAAAACAGCAGGAAAGCACAGAATCTCGTGTCCTAATATTTAATTAGTTCAGTCCGACATCATGAGTTTAACTGGAATAAAGTGTTTTATTGGTTTTGATTTGATTTTTAAAGTGTGTACTTGGTTTTGATTGGATAATAAAATAAGATGGAACTCTTGCTATATGCGGGGCCCTGTAACAATGATTGCTTTACATACGTGATGCTGTTTAATCCTCACGATGACCCTAAAACTTAGAGGTTAAGGTACTCACCCAAATTAAAATAATTACTGCATTCTGGAAGAAGGCTTCAAGCCCAAGTGTGACTGACTTGATGATCAGAGCTGTCAACCACAAGAATAGAACCGAGTCACTCCTATCCAGTGACAAAAGTTCACAACATGGCTCACTACAGTTTAGAGTATTTTCCCCCCGGTCTGGGCTAACCTGTAATTTCACAGCCCCAGATCGAAACAAGTGACCCGGCCTATCAACAGTCTCCACCTCTACAAAGTAAAAAAGAAAACAATAATAGTAATCAAACCAATTCATAAAGACCACAGAAAGTCAAGGAGGCGGAATTTTATGAAAATATTCAGAATCTACTAAACAAAACAATTTAGCCGCTACAGGGTTTAGATACGGTGGTGGTGTTACAGTATTGACGAGTTTTGGCAACGGACTGCCTCTATGGTGTTTGAACTGGCCTTTCCTGCTGAACTGATACCTGCCTCCCTGAGTCTTTGGTCTTTTGTATCACTCGCTAATGACCTTTATAAAGATGATTTCGTATACTTTCTTGCTCACCTTTTCAAATCATCCCTGTCGTATTTAGGGTTACAACGTAAATGCAGTTACCATAGACCACATCACCCCGCTGCACGAAGCCTGCCTTGGAGACCATGTGGCATGTGCCAGAACTCTGCTGGAGGCTGGAGCTAATGTAGGTACCGGTTAAAACCATTAATCACTTCACGTCTACTGACTAAGACAATCGCACAAAGTTCTCATGTGGCGTTTCTTTCCTTAGTAGTTTTCAAAAATTGCAGAATTGTAAGAGATCACTTTGCTTCAGTGTTCTCAGTGAGCTCCAAGAAGGATTTCTAGTCGTTGCAAAAACGGTCAGC